GCCCCTCCCCCGCCCTCCGGCTCCGCCCCGCCTCCAGCGGCTCTCAGACTGAGCTCCGGAGGGAACGGAGTCGGCGCCCTGGGCGTGAGGAAGCCCGAGACGAACTAACTCTCGCGGGAAGTTACATCGTTGCCTCGGTAACGGCGTCGTGGTCGTGGAAGATGGCGGGGCGCAGTCTTGGCGTCAGGGTCAGTGAAACCCCAGGCTCCAGGGGGAGAGACTAGGTTCCGGGCAGGCCAAGGACCCCGAACCTCTTTTAACTCTGGGTCTGAAAGTCTCCGTGTCTTTTACAGAGAAGGACAGGGACTCCACTCCCGCCACGCGTTCAGCAACCTGCCACTCCTCGACGGGACTTCCTCGCCAAGGAGGAAGAATATAAGTATGAAATTTGGCGGTTCGGCTTTTCTTTTTTTCTTTCACCTAAGTGAGGCTGCTTACAAGTACTTTTGCTGGTGACTGGGTCTTTGGGACCGCTCACTGCCCAGCGTTCTCTTCCATCTTTTTAACTTGAGCGCGTCTGCGTCCTAGGTGTTTGAAGTGAGCGAAAATTTAATTTAACCCGAGCGAGCATGTCCGTCAATCAGATTTACTGCTAGACGTGGTTTGGATAGTCGGAATTGCCACGAACAGTTCAGTTTCTAGTTTAAGGAATTCCATTTAACTCCAAATTCCTCGCGTTTACGTGTGTAGATTTCTTTTCGGCTTGGTGTCTAAATTGAAAGCCTGTTTCTCAGGGCATGTGGAATTACTATTCTTGTCCAGGTTTGGTGGAGTTGGGAGAAGGATTTCATTCCTTATCTGTTCAGCGTAATTACGAACTGTCCTCACAACACGTGTCTTCATTCTTGGACAATTTCATTCTTCATCCTCCAGTTTTCACACAGATACCAAGAGTAATCTTTTAATTTGATCATGTGAATCATTCCCTTGCCTGAAACTTTGCAGTGGTATCATGTTGCGCTTCGAAAGCTCTGTCAGATCTGGCTCCTGCCTCTTGTTGGACCGTGTGCTCTCTCCTGTTTGCTTACCACTCTCCACTCTCTTAGTTCCTCCAGCTTTTTCCTTGAGGGCAGTCACACATGCCTTCTACCTGTAATGCTGAGTGGCCTTTCTTGACTATGCTAAGTAGCCTCCCATTCTTTTTTTTTTTTTTTACTGTCTTACTAATTTTTCTTGGCATTTAGCATAACGTTCCAATATATTCATTTGTTAGTTTACTTTTTGTCTTTTTCCTCCTTTGGATGATGAGTTCCACAAGGTCTGAGACCATGTCTTTTATTTACCATTGTATATACCCTTACAAAAAAAATTATATTTGAACAGTTAGTTCACTTTCTTTTTAAAGTAACTACTTCCATTTGAAATTTGGAACACATTCTGGCAGTTCTTTAAACAGTTAAACAGAGTTACCATGTAATTTGTACTTTAATTTAAAGCATATTTAAAGTTAAAACTGATGTGTACCCTCTTTAGATGAACGAAACACATGCTAACTTGCCATATAGCATGTAGGAACATAGTCATCCCTCTCTATTTGATGAAATGGGTTTGTTATTCCAGTTTAAGAGTGTACTTAAGCAATGGATCTGTTGTCCATGTACATTCTGAATCAGTTATGCTCAGCCCAAAACAGTTATTTTCATCACGTACCAGATAGCACTGAATACCTGATTTGATTAGGTTAATTTTGTTTATTTAAGGGTATTATTTGCATCTGGCGTGGGCTGTGATTAGAGATATGGTCCTGCTTAAAGGCAGACATCTACAGGAGCTGTTCTCTTTTAGCAAAAGTTGTTTTGTGGTAAAGGCGCCCAGGTGTTACTAGTTCTGTTACCTGTACTCTGCAGTGTGCAGATCTGAGGCATTTCAACAGAGTAGTTCCTGAGCTCTGACTGAAGCTCGTAGATCACTTCTGTGCAATGGAGAAAGAGTAAAGTGTCTGGCCATTCTTTTATTTTAAATTGTTGTAAAATTAGTATGCAACGTTATATGTATTTCAGGTGTCCAACATTATAATTCATTATCTGTATATACTACATAGTGATCACCACTGTAAGTTTTAATTACTCCCTCCCCCAACCCCTGTCCCTCTGCTACCTGCCAATCTGTTCGTTGCATCTATGAGTTTGTTTTCATTTTGTTTGTTGTTGTTTTGTTTTAGATTCCACATCTAAATGAAATCATATGGCATTTGTCTTTGGCCATTCTTATAGGCAAGAATATGAGCTCATAACACAGTATTTTGGCCACATGTTGTCTTGGTGTTATGCATGTTGTGATGCCTTTTCAATCACCTGAGCACAGGACTTTCCAGGATTTCAATACAGAAATGGAGGAAATAATCAATGAGAGGATAGACTAAGGAACATACTTATCAATGAAGTCAATAGATTTTCTGAGCTTCATGTGTTTATCATAAAACCAGAGAGCTAAACAGTAAGATAATGTGATATCTGTTTCAATTGGTCTTGATAACTGGTAGGGCAAGTCTCCACACACACCCCCCACCTGCCTAACCCCCTGCCTGTAAATGCCAATTACATTGTATTTATAGATGAATTTGCAGAGAACTGTCATCTTTATGCTATTGAATCTTTCCTTCCACAAATATGGTATACCTCCAGTTAAACATGGGTGTTTTGGTGTCCTTTAATAATATTTTATCATATTACTACATAAAAGTCTTGCATATATCATTGTTTCAAAGTTCTTTATAGTTTTTGTTACTTTAATGAATGGCTCTTTTTTCCTACTACATTTCTAATTGGTTAGATATGTAGGAACATTGATTTTTGTATGTTGATCCTAACACTATGTTATATAGATATAGATCATCAGCTTTGCTTACCATTTTTATTTTTATTTTTTTGTTTAGTTGTATCATGGCTATGACTTATTACAGTAAAGGATACAAAGCAAAATAAGCAGTGGGAAAAGGTGCATGAAGTCTGGAGAAAAACCAGGCAAAACCTTCTTAAAGTTCTCTCTCAGAGTTTTTTTAAAAATCATGAATAAATATTGTACTTTGTCAAATGCTATTTCTGCATCAATTTATATATTTTTTTCTTTAGTTAATGTGGTGATTACATTAATTGATTTTGAATGTTGAACCAGCCTTGCATACCTGGAATAAATACTGCTTGGTCATGGTATATAATTATTTTTTAATTCTTTTTATATATTGTTGGTTTTGTTTACTAATATTTTGTTAAGTATCCTTGCATCTGTTCATGAGAGGTATTGCTCTGTAGTTTTCCTTTCTTGTAATGTCTTTGTCTGGTTTTGGTATTACCTTTATTCTAGCCTCATAGAATTAGCAAATATTCCCTCTGCTCCTGGTTTCTGGGAGATATTGTAGAGTATTGGTATCATTTCCTCCTTAAATATTTTGTACAGTTCACCAGTTAGAGCATCTGTGCCTCATGCTTTCTGCTTTTATGTTTTATAATTATTGAATTAATTCAATAGATATAGGCCTCCTCGTATTATCTATTTCTTCATGTGTGAGTTTGATAGTTTGTGTCTTTCAAGGAATTGATCCATTTCATCTAAGTTATCACATTTGTGGTCATAAAGTTGTTCGTAGTATTCCTTCATTATCCTATAGTCCATGGGATCAGTAGTGATGATTTTTCTTTCAATTGTAATACTAATAATTCATGTCTTCTCTCTTTTTTCTTGGTTAGCCTGGCTTTTATCAATTTTATTGATCTTTTCAAAGAATTAGCCTTTGGTTTCATTGATTTTTCTCTATTGTTTTTCTGTCCTAAATTTCATTGATTTCTGCTCCAATTTTTATTACTTCTATTAGGCTTAAATTTTTCTTCATTTCCTGGTTTCCTACTACAGAAGTTTAAATTATTGATTTTAGATCTTTCTTCTTTTCTAATATATGCATTTAATGTTATAAATTTCCCTCTAAGCTTTGCTTTTGCTGCATCCCATAGATTTTGACAAATTGTATTTTTATTTTCATTTAGTTAAAAATATTTTTAGATTTTCTTTATCTTTCTCCTTTGACCCATGTGTTACTTATATGTTTTTTTGTTTAATCTCCAAATATTTAGCAATTTCCTATCTACCTTTTTTTATTTCTAATTAAATTCAGTTATGTTATGTGAACATAGTAATTTATATGATTTCTACTCTTTTAAAATTGTAAGGTGTATTTTATGGACAGTGTGGGCACTCCTAGTGAATGTTACATGTGAGCTTGAGAAGGATGTGTACTCTGTGGTTGTTAGATGGAGTGTTTTATTACATTTTCATGCCATATTTTCTTTAAGTTAAAAAACTTTTTCACTTATATCACCTATAGATTATTTTATCCACTGCTCTTTTTGGCTGCCAGTCTCTTGAATCTATCTTCAGCAGTAGTGAGGCAGATATCTTTTTCCATGGTGAAGAGAAACTGTCTTTGCCAATAATAAAGATGTTGGAGGGCTGGGTGGCAAAGCTATTGCCTTTGATATCTTTCACATGAACCACATTCAAAGAATTGGGATGTCTCTCTCTGTTGGTGATCACACCAATTCTTCCCAAGTTAGCGTCTCTGGCCATCACCATACACAATTTCCAAATCAATCTGAACTGTTATTCACCTGGGTGAGGAAATCAGGGTGGCAGATGGTGTGAGTGTCATGAGTAACCAGATGAGGGATTCCTTTTGTGCCCACAAAGATTTTTCTCATTCTCACAACTTGTATGTGGCCTCCTCAGGTACAATACAGTGAACAGCAAAGCAACCCTTGGTGTCATAGAACAGTAGAAATTCTGTTGATGCTGCTGATATCCATAAAACCAGCAGAGTAGATTGTATCAGTTCAGACCTCGCTAACAATCTTAATGAACACCTGCACACCATCTCCTTTACTTCATCTTCTGCCTGGGCATACTTAAGTCTGTACCTCAGGAAAAGGCTGAAAGGGAGACATTCTCTCAGTTTGTGGGATCAGTGGGCAAGGAGCAGACACACCAGTCAGATTTTACAGTGTTCAGTGCTTCCGAGTTGATACAGACTGTGGATGCTTCTTGGGAGTGTAACATCCACTCCCTCTGAGTGCCAGTGCTAGCAGAGCAGCTCTGAAAGGCATCAGGGACATAAGGGGAGGAACTGGTGTCTGGCATCAGGGTGAGAGCTGGAGAGGCAGCGTTTTCCCAGACAGAAGTGCTGGCAGAGGCGTGTTCCTTTGCTCAGCCCTTCCCCCACTGAGCCAGCAGGCAGGTGCCATATTTGAGTCTCCATCAACCTCTCTGCTTAACTGTCATTCATTCTTTAGAGTCCTTGGATTTTTGATAAACACAGTTATATCATATGCAAATTATGTTTGTTTTGTTCCTTACAATTTCTCATGCATCTTGTTTTTTTATCTTGATCTG